AAAATTAATGATGAAAGATCTGCAAACAGCACCATACTACACTCATTTTTAAATAGAAATGGCAAGTAATTAACATACACTAAAAAGAGAAACGGACCCAATATTGAACCCTGCGGAACGCCCATTCTTATCTCAGAGCCCTGTGAGCTAGAACCACCTACATGAACTCTCACCTGCCTATCCTCTAAATATGATTTTAGTTGACGGAGTGCAGTATGCCTAATCCCGTAATGATCTAATTTCTGCAAGAGTGTTTCATGATCAACGCAATCGAACGCTTTTGAGAGGTCGCAAAAGACACCAAGACAGCATCCTGTGCTTCCTCCCACTTCCCAGGCACCGAATACTTCCTTTATAAATGTGAGTTTATTTAACTATTGTTTACTGCTGTCCGTTGGTGGCTTGTTCGTCCGCGAGTCACTTAAGGGGCCAGTAGAATACCAGCGCAAGGCCCTGTCTTGCACATGCTGAACTGGTCCCATTTCACCACAGACTTGGGACACTAGTATGTAGGTGGTCCATAAAGTGTTTGTACAGAATCTTATGTGTCGCATGTTTTAGCGTGTGAAATAAAGCTTATTTTCTTTCTTTTCTTTCTTTAACTAATATTACATCTGTTCGGAGTTCCCTTCTATTTATAAATCAGGAAAGAGCTATCATGTTATCCTGAATTGAACCCGAGCCAAGGGCACTTTATACCACGGCCTCACAGAAACCGACGGGAAACTACCACAGCGATGTTTTTCATGAAAAAGCCGATTGCTTGCAATCGGGTATTCCGTCAGCTCATTTCCCGACCTATAACGTAAAAAAGAACTAATATTTTATATAAGTATCTATAGTAGGGGAGCCCAGGATGCTAAATTTGTATTTAGTCAAGCGTCGTAGGAAGTAACTGGAATCTGAAGATTTGGTGATAGAAAGAAAAAATGTCTCAATGACATTTCATTCCTCCGGTTTTGTGTGTGTTGTAACTTTTTGTTTGTGTTGTAAGTTGTGAGATGTAACTTTTGTTTTAGTGCACGAGCGTGACAGATATTAATAATGTATATTCTCCATGTATCTGACAGTGAAAATATTTTAATCTGCCGAATTGCGTGGTGGGGTTGGCTAACTAAGGAGATAGAAACGGGACCCGTTCAAAACTCTATTGCTGTTGTAAACGAAGCGATGAAATCGTCAGATTTTTTAAACGCCTTTTCTTTGACATGACGCCTACCTTTTCCCCCCTAATCTGACGAAAACGACTGAATTTAGTTATTTTTTTATATTGTTATGCCCCCCCCCCTCCTCTGTTTACATTAAGTATATGTAGGATATATTCAATAGATTACTAAATATTCCCCATATGTTAATCTGACGCGCTCGAGTAACTACCTAAATTCCTTCATGGGCTCCCCTACTACTACTATTACCATATCGTGGCACCAATGCCACAGAAGGCTTACCCAAGTAAACCTTCTGTATACTTTCCCGGCTTAGCCTGTAAGAGTGGCTGCTCGTCGTGCTGATGAACCGATGTGCACAATATTCTAAACAAAGACCTCGATAGGAGCGTCGTAAACTTACAAAATCGGATGAAGGTGAGCAGACACAAGCATTGGATGTTCAATTCATCCAATGTCGTCAAAAACGTAGAATCATGGATTAGGGCGTCATGTCTTCAATATATCATAAAGCGGTGGGTTTCGTACGTCAGTTTATAATATTTGCAAGTCTTGTAGGCTGGATACGTTGTCAGTCAGTTTGTTTAAATGAATATTATGTGTGGTCTCCTAACGTAATAATTGGTCCAAATAAATAGAACGCTTTTTTGTCGTGTAATCGACGCCCCAAGTTAAAAAAAAAAACAATTTTGATCCTTCATTAATACCACACCTAGTATTAATTTGTTATTTCGACTGTTTATTTAAAAAATCAATGATGTATCATTAGCGAGTTATGCCATATGCGGTTCATCTTGAAATAAATGGGACAAGTCATTTACATATACCAAAAATAGGAATGGTATCTCTTCGGACGTGTCTCTCACGCAAACTATTGAGTTTAGAAAAAAATGAGATATTTGTAACTTCAATATCATTTTGGAAAACCTAATCATCCGTAGATATACCACACGTTTGATGAAAATAATGTCATTTTTAAGTATGGAGAACCTTAATTGTTCTTTTATTTTATTTTTGTGTTTTAATGCGGTTCACACAATACTTAAATACTTAGTCGGGTCATAAGTTCTGTCAAAACCTTATATTTTTAATTTTCGATTACTGGCCAGAAATTCTTCGACTTATTTTAAAAATAGAACTTTCGCGCTTGTAGAAAATAAAAAAGAAATTATTTTTTATTCATTTTTAAATATGGAGTGGTCGAATAAAGAAGACAGAATCGCGGTTATCGCGTTGCACCGCTGTGGTTACGCGCCAAAAGACATTTTCAATATTCTTCAAAATTTGAAAATAACGTTACGGTTTGTTTATCGTACTATCAAACGATACACCGAAGAGTCAAGCTTCGAAGATCGTAAGAGAAGCGGCCGACCTCGCACAGTTCGGACACATAAGGTCATCAAAGCAGTGAAGGCGCGAATCGAACGAAATCCCGTACGTAAACAAAAAATCCTAGCTCTGCAGATGGGGCTAAGCAGAACCACTGTTAAAAGAGTACTAAATGAAGACCTGGGACTACGAGCTTATCGTAAAAAGACAGGACATTTTTTGAACGAGCGTTTAAAAAAAATTAGGCTAGACAGATCCCGCGCTTTGCTACGACGGTACGCGGGAAAAAAATACCGCGAAATTCTTTTTTCGGATGAAAAAATTTTTACTATTGAAGAAAGTTTTAACAAACAAAATGATAAGGTGTATGCCCACAGCAGTGAAGAAGCAAGCGCGCGTATTGCGAGGGTCCAGCGTGGGCATTACCCTTCCTCATTCATGGTTTGGCTTGGAGTCTCATATTCAGGCGTAACTGAGGTGTTTTTCTGTGAAAAAGGTGTGAGAACTAGTGCCGAAGTTTATCAAAATACTGTCCTAACAAACATAGTGGAACCTCTTTCTCAGACAATGTTCAGGAACAGGCATTGGATATTCCAACAGGACTCTGCACCGGCTCATAAGGCACGAAGTACGCAAGACTGGTTGATCGCTCGTGGAATTGACTTCATCCGGCATGAAGACTGGCCCTCTTCTAGTCCAGATTTAAACCCACTGGACTACAAGATATGGCAATATTTGGAGGAAAAAGTCTGTGCTAAACCTCACCCGAATTTGGAGTCTCTCCGAGCATCTCTGGTTAAAGCAGCGGCAGACATAGATATGAATGTGGTGCGTGCAGCGATCGATGACTGGCCGCGTAGATTAAGGGCATGTGTTCAAAATGGGGGAGGGCATTTCGAATAATGTAAATAAAATTATATTGTACATTTAATGACCTTTCATTTCATATATAATTTTTAAATAATTGTCAAAAGGCGTATAAGTTATTACATCAAAAGTTTGTGACAGAACTTATGACCCGACTAAGTACATGTTCTTGCCAAGTCTCAACAGATAGTTGTGGAGATGCTGTACACTCGTATGCCGACTGTGTCGCGAGGTTATCTTTGTTTACTTGTAACTATTGTGGTAACTCTAATCAAACGGTTTGCCCGCTAACTGCTAACAATCAATTTCAACTAATGTATGACATGTAATTACGACTTGTTTACTTAGCATTGGCCACAAACTAGCCTTTGCCTGCGACTTTGTATCCATAACATCAAAATCCCAGTATCCCGCTTCCGTTAAGCAGGTGGTAGTGTAGGTACCTGTGAAGTATGATGGCATGCGATATTCAGACGCACACATGCACCTTAACGTTTGGCAAAAAGTCACAGAGCAGAGTCGAGTGATGCAACTAGAGCAGCGACCACGACCAACATACTTGCTGGTACTTACACAAGCCGGTGTAAGTCTGCGGCGGCGAGTCCGCGCGGCAAACCTAACGCTTTGTTTGTTACCATTCCAGCACGACGGCCGCGACTGTTCCGCTCTTTATCTGTGGTGAACACACATCCAACTTAACGCAAATACGAAGCTATCAATCAAAGCGGACTTATCAGTTATCACAAACACTATTTGTTTTACATCCGCGCTATCACCCGCGCCCGCTCACTGCACGCATCACGAGCCCTCACTTAATGCTGCCATACAATACATTATACTTGACGCCTTCAGGCAGATCATCGGTAGGAGTGTGACTCCCTCTCGCCCCACCCGGGAGAAGAACCTCACTCTCACCCAGGAGAAGTCATTTGATGATTTCCCCATCAAACAAAAAAAGGAGGACTAACTGACCAACTTGATTAGTCATGTGTACACAGTCAGTACCTACAAGAAAAACAAATGATTTGAGAATACAGCTAATCATTTAATACATGCTACTAGCTTCTGCCAGTGGCTTTGCTCGCGGTTCCAGTATAGAAAAACCCTATTGTAACCCTTTAAATTTCAAACTATTGTTCTATCTATATAAACAATTTCCATTATACGTGGAGGAATAACAAAAATCCTTGCATCTATACATGCTTACAAAGGAACACATCCTCTTTGCTTATTAAAATACTTTTCGTGTTTACGATGATACCCAGCAGTGTAGTAGTCACTGAAAACGCGGGCTCAGTCTTCATTGGTCAGATCTTGTTCAGCGGATGTCGGCGGAAGCGGCTAGTTGGGCCAGTCATTGGGTAATGATGGCGGACACTAAGACGAGCGGCCCGCGTCGCACGTGCCAGTACTTACTTGTCTCGTTCCTAACATCTCTCCGTAAGCTGCAAGCTGCAGCGCGCGGCCGCCGTCGCTGCACCGAGCCGGAGAACGGCACGATGATCGCTGTTATGTCGTTTGCATGTTGAAGACAAGATTCAGTTGGGATTTGTCGCATTCAATAAAAAATATAATAAGAAAGTCTGAACAGCAAGGAAATACGATGCATAGGGACACTGCAAATGGACTGAGAGCAGGCTAAACAAAACACTGGGCATTAATCTTGAAGGGTATGCTGAGAGTGATGCGGGCGCGGCGCGGGCGCCCGCGATGTAGCGGCGGCCAGCGACCACTGGCGGTGTTCAGTACGCCCGCGACTCCGCGCCGCGCTGTACGCCACGCTCGCATCCCGGCCCGACGCTCCACATGCCGAGAGACGGTCAGTAGCCGCACTTTTCGTGAACTACACGTGCATACATATACATTTATAAATAGGGGCGCGGCGGTCGCGGGCCTCCGGGGCGCCGCGCTAATATTGTCACTCCGCCGCCGCGACCATCGCTGCTGCCCCGCGCCCGGCCGCCGCACTCTGTGCAAACAACATGTTTTATCGATGTATTTGCTTTGTCACTTATTTCCTTAAAACCAACTAAATTATTATTTGACTTTATACTTCACTCTCGTAGCACCCATTTACGTAGTCCGTAAAAACATTGTTTTATTGTAAACAAATAAATAAGTAATCCAAATGTAAGCAACATGTGCGATACACCGCGCGACACGCTCTCAACGACAGCGTGTACTCACGCGGAGCCTGTAGTTCTATAGTGCTGTAGTGCTGCGAGGCGTTATGGTTTCTTGGTGTCCGCGTAAGATCTGTTTGTCGCGTTTTCCATCTATTACTCAACGGATTTCTGTCAGTATCGTCTACAGTCAGAGTCGTTCTGTCAGGTGTATGGTGCACCCACGCAGTACGCCCCGCGGCTGCACTCGACATGCGACAGAAGTGCTTGTTCTGTTGCGACAGCGCGCCACATAGGTACTGCTCATCAACAAATACATATTAATATCGTAAGCAATGTACTGATTTCACTTTTATACAGAAACAATATATCAGGTGAACAATATACCTACTCCTGGTAAGCTGTTTAAGCTATATAACTTCTTTTAAGTTTTTGGGAACTCTTCGGTAGGTACATAATCTTATCACACTTCGGTGTTATCGTGTTTTAACATTTATATTAAACATTCGGCAGTGCGACAAAAACAAGATCCGGAGGTCACGGCGCGACTTGATTTCTATACCGGACACCGGCCACGCGCGCTCTTGTGTGCGCACATTATTCAATACTTACACACAAAATACAAGTTATTAATCATTAAATGGAACATAATCCCGTTACAAAAGATGTTTCTCCGTTTCTAGAAAAACAATAAAAAATCAAGTTTCGTTTGGGCGCCTCTTAAATATGTTAAATAGATTTTGTATACTTGGTATTAGTGACAACACAACGTGTGTCATATTGCGGTCCATGCGATACAGCCCGGGGGCAGACAGATAGCGAAGTTGTAACACTAGGCTCCCATTTTAGAAGCTTGGAGAGCATTTGCTTTGTTTCATACGAAACAGGAAATAGATGTTATCTGATCTCCCTGATCAATTAATTGTTATTAGATATCGTTCGGTATGTAGGTACAACATTATAAGTATCCGCCAACGCACTGTTGGAGACAAACAAAGCACGTTTACTTATTTAATATGCTTTGTAAATATAGGAAATGTAAATGATATGTTGAATCATTATCAGAATGAATATCAATGAGCCAGCCGAGCACCTCGCCCCGACACAAGTACCTACTCAGTTCCCTTCCACTCGGCACTCACGCCACCCACTCCCTCACTCACCTCGGGGACCGACGCCGACTTGGCGAGGTTGTGCTGTCACCGTGCCCCGTACTAGTTGCGGCCAGCGTGCCCTGCTCGTCGTTGTTCTACATTACCATAAATACACGACACGGCGACTAGGTACCTACTGCTATATATGTTTGTATACTAGCGGTCGCCCGCGGCTCCGCTCTTGTGGATATCGATTTTACACCTTCTCAAGATTTTGTTCAAAATTTTCTGCACATAGGTACATACATATGTACCTTCTCTAGGCTTCCACGAATAATTCGAGACCAAAATTGGCCAAATCGGTAAAGGCATTGTAGAGTTATAATATAACAATGAAAAGTGGCATTGATTTATGTATATAATATAGATATCGTGTCCATCTCGTTTTGCTCAAGTCTTGAAATGCTTAAGTATTTCATAGAATGGCTGCTTTTCATGCAGCGGTCGACTGCGTATTGCCATCATGATGTGGTTTGTAGATCAATGATTACCCATTCTCTGGTCGTGGGCAACTAAACGCGCGACCGCTTACTCTATGAGGTAGTCGAAATGATTTTGTCATATTGTAAAATAACTTCAGTTAAAATTGTTGAAGTACTTTAGAAAACGTAACAAGTTACTTGTTTCTCCGCGTTGAACGTTCGCTACGTGCCTCCATTGTCGTTGGTCCACGAAGCGGCAGGCCTGATCCGCTTGCCACTCGAGCTCCCTGATTCCCAGGCCTGGTGGCCGTCAGACCTTCGAGCGACGTTGTATCGAAGACGCTGGCATGGCATATTATTACCTAGCGAAGCGGGCTGAGTGAAGTACCATTACAAGGTACAAGGTGGCTTGAAGCCGAGGATCCCCAAATGAAACGATGTATCTATATGCCATTTTGCCGTGTAACGAAACCATATCGCGATTAAACTCGATCCCAACCAATCCCAACGCCATCTATCGAGCTATTCGGTACTACAATTTTATAAATAATTAATTTCGATTATGGGATAGCGTGGGTGTCGAGTATACCTACTTTATCATTATTTCTATATTTATCAAACGTAACAAACAAAATAATATTAAAAATATTACAAACTATGCAAATTTGAGGTCGGTTGGCGAGATTGCAATCTCAGTAAAAATTCTGGATTTATACTTAATGGGTTTGAAAAATTAATATAAGTAAAGAAAAGAAAGAAAGAAAGGCATACATATTGAGGGCAAACAAGTGGTCGCAAAATTATCGTGCAAATGACCGGAGTAAAAGCAGTTTTGTGTTAGGTATTCTTTTAATTCCTTTGAGAAGACGGCTTTGTTTTATAGGTTACATATACTATAGTGATATCAACAATTATTATTTTATAATCTCATCCACACTGTATGTTGGAATAGTTTAGCAAACTGTTTAAAACTGTTTTTATAAGATCGCCGACGATTATAGATTGAGTCAGCCTTTATTTAGATTGGCTAAAGTGCATAAGTCATTCCTGGGATTCTGTGTTAAATGTTACAACAAAATCCCAGTCGAAATTCAAAATCTAAATGAAAGCAAATTTAAACTATGTGGGTATAAAGAAACATTTATGTAAACTAGCATACTACAAACTAAATTTAATTATTATGTACAAGATAAAAATGCTTGGAGGCTAGCTGGTCCTACTCCACAGAAAGTTAAGAGGAATTTTTGATTTTAATTATTAAATTGTACATTATGTTGTTAATTGTTCATGAACTTGTAAGTTTTTGTAAATGTGATTTTTATTAATTTAGACTTGTAGAATATAGGTACTTGTGTCAGCTGGGAGCTGTCATGCTCACTAAGAGGTCTCATTGGCGGTGGCACGGGCACTGGATCGCTGAATTCTCTATAATATGGTTGAGTTGGGCGGTGCTGGTGTACGTGTCATGTTCGTTAACGGGAGCAGCCTATTGGGACTGGTCATCTCCAGGCTGTCTAAATATGTTGTCCTTGAGGTTAACTTCTTTTTCGTATTTTTTGCCAAAACATTAGTGCTACACTGTTGTCACATATCAAAACCGACTGAATGATGTAGGTAACAAAGAAATGTATTGTAAACTGATTGAAAAAGAGTAACCATGGAGTTTCTTGTTCGTTCTTCTCCATAGGAATCTACACTTTGGAACGAGCAAATACCTTCACTAGAGGATAGACGGACAGACTGACACGCTTAATTTTAAAGCTCTTGAAATACTTTTTTTCTTTTTTTTGCCTACTGTGATCTAATTGAAATAAATGATTTTGACTTTGTCTTTGACGTATTTGCCAGTGTTCTAGTGCTGCGGATGCCCGTGGGGACCGTCAATGGCTGACAGTTAAGAGATCAGTGTGCTGCTAGTTTTTGGGTCGGTCGGTTGGTATAAGGCGGCGGGCTCCGAATGTAACTCTAGGTATTTTTATTTCCGGGCTCGTTTTCATAGCAGCGGTAAGGAGGGTCTTACCGCTGCTACTCAGGTTCGGTACGGGTACGGTAGGTTCCTATTTCGGAAAGGCGGGACGAAACGCCAACGTGTCATCATTGTGAGGACCACTCAGAGGAAACGATGGAGATAGAGAGAGATATGATGGCATGGCAGTATGCCCCGCTTGGGCTGAGCACCGCCGTGTCCCCAGGGAAGTGACTTGCGGCGGCGACCTCTGGCGTCCTGCCTTAGTCGAAGCCATGGTGTGATGCGAGGAGTACAAGGAAGCCGTCTCCTTTTTCTGTGAAGTAGTCATGCTGCAAAGGAGGAGCCAGAGCGCGTGAGAGATCTACCCTCCTCAGCCCCAGCCAACAGGGCGGCCATGGGCGTCGCCGATTGCTTACTGTCAGACGAAGCTGCGGCTAGTCGTTTGCTTCCTTATAGTATAAAAAGGTATATTCCTGCATTGTTGGCTATTATTCTTAAAACGGACATCGGCCAAGCTGTTGTTCCACGTCAGACCTGAGCGTATGGTACCTATAGTATTGTTTTTAACAACCGTTGTGTGTGTAGTGGTGTCAAAAATCAAAGGTCGCCGATAGCTTCGGTGTAATCTGTGTTTTATGGACGAAACTACATATAACCGGACAAATAAGTTTATTTCAATAACATTTATTGGACGGCAAATTATTCTAAGATTGCATACGATTATTTAAACGTATTTATATAAGTAGAACTAAATATTATATAATTTGTGAATAAGACTATATAAAATATTAAGTACTTAGGTACTTTTAGTAGAGGATTGTTTTTTAGAGTTCTTTACCCGAAAGGAAAAAACCTTTTTACTAAGGCTTCGCTGTCTGCCTATCATTTCAAGGGGCAACTAACAAAAATATTCCGACTTCAAAAAGTAAACTAAAAACCAAAAAATAAATTTTCTTTGTAGAAATTAATACATGTTTTCATTTAGTTAAAGAGTAATTAAATCTGATGATGGAGCAGGAAGACTGTCGTGGCATTTTTTGACTATTTGGAGTAATTATATTGTGCTTGAACTTAATTCATTTATATTGCTAAGAACTTTGCACCTATATGGATTACGTAAGTATATTGAAGGTCTGCAGTACCTATACATGATGATGGAGACCATTGACAGTCGACGGAATTCCTCAACGATTTATAGCTAAACTAACTGAACACTAACTAACTCAGGACTACTACTATCACCGTGATTTACGGTATCAAGGTAGCCGTCGTCTTCTCATTCGAAAACCATTATACTCGCTTGCTCTGCCTACTACACTTAAAATGATGAAATAAATAATTTTTAACAAAAATATTCCGACTTCAAAAAGTAAATTAAAAAATGAATTTAGTCCAAACACGAGGTAGTTACTGTGAACCGTTCAGGAGTTCCCTGAGCTGTCCTTCGTTCTCATCATCAGACCTTTAATGACAGTAAGGGTCGGGTAAAAGTGCAAGGGATCCCTCGACGGTCTTAAGGCTCCATCATCAGGTCGAGTTTGACCATCGGCAAGTTGTAGCTTTGTAAAAAGCCTACTAAAAAAAAAATGCAAAAGCACTACTCGCCCATACATATTTCGAAAGTTCCCCTCGGTTTCCCTAGGATCCCATCATCAGATCCTGACCTCATGAAAATGGGACCCTCTCGGGAGTGTAACCTTTCAAACAAAAGAATAATTTTGGAAATCGGTTTCATAAATGGCGGAATAATCGGTGAACATACAAAAAAAAACAATCAGCCGAACAGAGTACCTCCTCCTTTTTTTGAAGTCGGTAAAAATGGTCCGAATGCTTCTCCCGCCCTGGTTGGGGTGATAGGAAGTGTCAGACTCTTACTGCCGACCGGGCACGCTATCATAGCAGCGGTTAGTCTCCTCTTTCTACAGACGATTTCCAGCCACCGTAAGCGCAGCTCTGTAGACAGCGAGTAACGGTGGGCTACCGTTACTCGCCCGACCAGAAAACCGATACGAGCGTACGGCGCGTAGCTTTCAAAGAACAAATAGGGCTGACGTTCAGCCGGGGCAAGCGCAATGAGGCACCGCAGCCTCGGCTTAGAGCAGGAGAAGGAACGAGGGTTTTTAGTCCGTAAGAGTCTGAAACCCTTGTTGTTGATTTTCCTTTGATATTTGATGGCTTTTAGAGGCTTACGTCGAACGAGGTTCGCCGTACGCAAGGGTCTAATTCGGTCAGGCGGCGCGCTACCCTCGCTCGGCGTCCCCAGACCCAGACCTCCTGCGGCGGCTGGGGTGTGAAAATGTAATTCTGTCACGCGCTTCACCTTCTTCTTTGCGAGCATGACTGTTTCGCAGAAGGAGTAGGCTTCACAGCCTTTCTCACTCTGTACCATGTCCTCGACAAAGGCCCGCCACCGGGCCAGACAGGTCGGCGTCTACTCTTTTGAACGGTGAATATGAGGCCTACATTATCTGTTTATCTATCTACAAATAGTCTCTTAATAAACTAAGCATTCTAATCCGCGAAAATATAATTAAAGGAATTACTAGCCATGTAACGACTCATCTTCTGCAAGCAAATATAATAATTTCTATTTAAGTAGTTCTAATGCAGTTTAATGTTGAATGTTATGAAGTTTTTCTGTCGTGTTATCAGTTTTACTTATTGTAAATGTAGGGTCAATCAACATCTGGGTTATGCGGAATGAGTCGGCCTCGGCCCAGAGCAGGAGAGGGAACGGGGGGTTTTATTCAGTAAGAGTGTGTTACTCAAAGAAAAGGGTCAATCAATATCGACATGCCATTTACCGTATTGGTTTTTTTCAGATACCATAATTAAATAATCATAAGGCTTACTGTTACCAGGCTACTGTCGGTTTCCTCAGAATGAGGATTTTGTAGCTAGTTTAATACGAGTAGGTAGTATACGAGACTTGTTTGAATCGGCGACGATATTTATGCAAGTCAATGAAATGGAACTTTTGTATGTTACAGAGTCTTCCAAAGGTGTGGCCGCGTGGCTGCGGCGCTGGTGGCGCGCGCTGGTGGCCGAGCTGGTGGCCACGGCGCTGCTGGTGTGGCTGGGAGTGGCCGCCATGATGCCGGTGCGCGGGCCCGGCTCCGTCATGCTGGCACACCCCGCTATGGCGTTCGGCTTCGTAGTGATCGCTAATGCGTGCGCTTTCGGTCCCGCTTCGGGCGCGCATATGAACCCAGCCGTGACCCTGGCCGCGGTGCTGTATGGGCAGCTGGGCGCCAGCCCCGCGCTGGGCTACGTGGTGGCCCAGATGTTGGGCGCCATACTGGGCTTCGGCGCGCTGCTGGGCACGACGCCGGCGGCGGCGGCGCTGGCGCCGGCGGGCTGCACGCTGCCGGCGCCGCACGTGTCGGCGCTGAGCGCGGCGCTGCTGGAGGCCGCGCTCACCGCCGTGCTGGCGCTGGCTTGTTGCGGCCTGTGGAGCGTGCACGACCCCGCGCGTCCAGACCCCGCCGTGCCCATCAAGCTGGGTCTCGTCGTCGCCGGCCTCGTCTACGCAGGGGTACTGTTCTATGGACGAGTGCATCGACATAACGTGTATATATTTGGCATACATAGATGATCACAAACGATGCTCACGTTACAGGGCCACGCGACCGGCGCCAGCATCAACCCGGCCAGAAGCTTCGCGCCCGCTCTGCTGCACGGATACTGGGAATACCAATGGGTACGTGTGGCCGCGTGTCTACTGTGTACATACCTAATGTATATTTGTACTGAGGTATAACAGATAGGCGTCACTCACAGCTTTTTAGTCAGTAAGAGTGCTACTCCCTTCTCGACCCTGGGCGGAAGAAATCATTTGATTATTTTTTTTTAAAAAGTCTTTAAATGATCGACTAATGCCAAGCGTAGTTCCCATCGGCACTCTTATTTTATGTCGTTTTCGTTTCGGTAGATAGGTACTTATTGTGATATGTGACCAGGTTAGTGCATGTACATCTAGAGGGAATAAATCCGTGTTTTTCGTCCACAAAAATCTGTCTCATAATATATGAGCTTTTGCATGAGGATTGAAGGATTTGAAGCTCGCATCTAAAGAGATTCAAATGACTTTGCAAAAACTGAGAGTAGGTATTAATATGGGTCTATACCTAATTAGAAATTATTTTTTTGTTTTAATTTTTGAAAAAATTGCAAAGTACCTTTCCAATTTTCCAAACAGTCGGGAATATCCCAGTCAACATTGTTTTCTCATACCGCGATCTCTGACAATGTCTGGAACTGTCAGTAAAATGTGGCCCACGCTGCGTGTTGCAGGTGTACTGGGCGGGCCCGCTGGGCGGCGCGGCGCTGGCGGCGCTGGCCCACCGCTGGGTGCTGACGCCGCGCAGGCGCCCGCGTGCCGACCCCGCAGAGCTGCCACTACAGGACAAACCGGACCAGCCCTAGTGTTCCCTTATTTACGTATTTTATTTTATTAAATAATATTTCAGTTACCTATACTTTTTCATTTTTCTCCCTGACAGAAAAGCCAGGCTTGGCGTGCTAGTCGCTTTGGGTAGGGTCCTACACCGATGCGAATCGGGTCAAAATAAGAAATTAGCTTATAATTCAAATACCGCATTCACATAGAACGCATTTAACCGTTGTTTTGCGTCTTTACCCTCACCCCGCACCTCCTATCGATCGCGCCTCTAAATCAGTGTTCACGCCACGCGTCAGCGAGTCACTTTTTTGTGCATGTCGATTTTTTGGCGGGAATCTAAGTTACGTTGGTACTTACGATTTATTTGTGTCATGTTAGGAATTTGTGTTAAAATCAACAATATTGTTGTGTATTGCTAATCAAGATGTGATTCGCTTTTACGTATAATGTCAGAGGTAAACTTATAAAATATTTATTTCTTGATTATGGGGCTAATCGTCGTCGTCGTGATCACACTTTAAAACTAATTTATTAGGTAGGTACTTGTCTAAGGTTACTAATTCATATTTATTCATTTGTTCGCACGTACAAATGAAAGACTATTGGAGATTGGTCTCAAGAAAATATATACATATGTACTGTATACCTATATAAGGTGACAGGACTGAAGTGACCATACGTACGGCTGCTGAGATTTTTGAAGTAGGTACCTACCGTTCTATATGTGAACTGAACGGTTTAAAGTAACTTCCTCGTGATTGGGTTTTTTTTTGACTAGCTTAGGACTGCCATTAACGTGATTTTCGGTTTCAAGTAGCCGTCGTCTTCTCTTTCGAGAAGCATCCTAGCTTTCTCTGACTATCACTTAAATAAGTTTACTTTGTTCAAATACAACCTACATATTTCCATTTAGTTAAATAGAAAATACTTAATATTTAATAACTATTGTAACGCGGCATCCTAAACGGTTTGTGTCGGACGCATGCGCGTGGCGTTATAGGCAACGCCACACCCCTTTTCCACTACCCCGCCACTGACCGCTCGACGCTTGCGTAGGCGCGAAACGGGAGTGAGTGAGTCCCCGAGCCGGTGACCGTGACGCACGCGCCCTTGTATTTGTGCCGCGAACCTTGATTAATTGTCGTTTTGTTATTAATTTACCTTTGTAAAGTGTCTCAATATATATAAGTTATCACTGTTGATCGTGTGTCGAACCTTATTTCACACCCCCGAGAAGTTATACAACCTATTATAGTGACGCCCAACTCGCGGCCACGATCGACGTGAACAAACAGTGAAAGTGCATAAAAACTCAAAGTTACGATAAGTTCTAGTGTTCCTATTGTGCAAACACATGCTGTGGACCCTTTCCGATAGTGCATCACACAAGAACTATCGCAGAACCAGCGCAAATACCTACGCAAACAAAATTTGGGCGAGTCCATTTTTCCCGCGCGTTACCGGCGGCGTCAGTTGGTATATACCTACCATACCGACTCACTCAACTTTAGTACCATCCTTGTAGGCATCACCCGTGCTCTTCGAGCGAGTAACAGCGCGAATTTCCTGTTACCATGCCGCCGAAGAGAAGAACTGGAAGAGATGAGGGATCGGAATCCGACACAGACGTCGAGATGAACAGAACTGTGGTTTCGTCACCGAACTATATAATGTCGGCAGATATGCTCAACACCCTTGTCTCCAACATCACTAGGAGTCAAGTGGAAGCAAACAGAGTTCTGATTGAAACTATTTTGGCGGGAAACAGAAACCCACCGAGTACGGCGTCACCGCGCCGCGAAGACGCCGACGCTTGTACGTACGCGCCACGCGTAGGTAACTTCGCGAAGTGTACGGCGCGCTTTAGTGGATCATCGAGGAGCGCGGATGAGCTCGAAGCTTTTATAGAGGCCATCAAAGTCTACCGCGAGTGCACCAACGTCAGCGACGAGCACGCGCTGCGCGGGCTGCCGATGCTGCTGGTTGGCGAGGCCGCCGTCTGGTGGCAAGGAGTGAAGTCGTCGGTTACGTCTTGGACCGACGCCCTGCAGCGACTTCGAGGGATGTTTGGAGTGCCGCGACCCGGTTATAAGATCTTCAGAGACATTTTCGCTACCGAACAAAATAGTGAACGGGCCGACGTGTATATTTGTAAAGTGCGCGCTTTGTTATCAAAATTACCGTACGTAGTACCGGAGATAATGAAGTTGGACATTGTATACGGACTGTTAGATCGTAGAATAAGAAAACGCGTGTGCCGTGATTCTGTCGACGGGCTGGAGCAACTCATCACCAAAGTCAGGTTAGTCGAGGAGTCACTGGCGGAGGTAAGTTCTCCCATCCATCATAATAATGATACGAGCCTTGTTGACTCGTGCGTCACGCGTGACCGTTCTGACACAAACCGGAGTCCTACCCTTTCAAATACCGTCGTCGAACCTATTAGTTCAAAATCATTATGTAGCGCTAAATTTGTAGTAAGTTCGCGCGATGCGGCCATGTCAGGTGAGGCCTCCGCGTCTAACGTAAATAATAATAATTACGACGTACGAAAGCGTACGCGACCGAAGTGTTCGTACTGTAAACTCTTCGGGCATACAGTCGAGGACTGTCGTAAGAAGAAGCAAAATAGTGATTCTTCTAGTAATCTTAGTAATAATAAAAGCTCGCAGTTACGGCGCTACGGATGTGGTCAGCTGGGAGTAGTGCGATCACAATGCGAAAAGTGTAAATTTACGCTTAACTCGAGTAAAGCAGATTTTTGTAGTGCTTATATCGTAGATGTCAGTGACGGTGATTCGCGACCGCTGATAGACATTGAAGTGGTTGACCGTAAGGGCGTGGCCATACTGGATACAGGTGCCACACATTCCATTGCGAGCCCAATGCTGTATTCTTTGCTTGTTGACACCGGCATGGCCTTTAGGAAGGTTTTGCGTACCATTGGTCTTGCTGACGGGTCACAGCAAGAATACATCGCGTTGGAGTGTGACGTCAACGTCATTTTAAAACAACGCGTGATACCTACCACGTTTATGGTGCTACCGAAGGCACGAACTAGGACGTTACTAGGTAGAGATTTTATTACAAAAGCGAATATCCTGTTGGATCTACCACAGTGCAGCTGGTGTTTTAACGACGAGCCGAGTTGGCATCCGTTCGCCACCAGATCCGCTTTACCTACTGGCGACAGTATGGAGCTGATGAGAGCAGCAGCGGACATTCGCGAAACTCAACGCGAGGAATCGGAGCACGATCCGTTCAGGGGGAGGAGTCGGTCCGACCGCGGCCCTGAACAGGGAAACCCAGAAACGGCATTTCTGGTTACTTCCAAACATGTTCGCGAAGTTTATGGTAGGAACCGAACAAACCCGAAACGTAGCCCTGCGCCGGAATACTCCGCAGGAGGTCAGGTTCGTTTAAAGACCCAGGGTAGCAACGATGCTCCCTGTGGACAAACTCCGAAGTTTATACCACGTCGAGTCCATATCGGATTAAGCGGGTCGTTAGCCCCACGATACATATTTTGGAGACAGTAGGTATAGTGGCGAGATTTTGGGTAAGTACCACGTCTCTCAGCTGACCCCTTTCGTAGGCGATGTGCTGGTTCCGCCTGTTAAGGAGAAGCGTAGGCGTGGAAGACCCAAACGTTATCTAGACTGACCTAGACGCGAGGGCGCTATGTCTAGGTCAGAGGGGGAGGTTGTAACGCGGCATCCTAAACGGTTTGTGTCGGACGCATGCGCGTGGCGTTATAGGCAACGCCACACCCCTTTTCCACTACCCCGCCACTGACCGCTCGACGCTTGCGTAGGCGCGAAACGGGAGTGAGTCCCCGCGCCGGCGACCGTGACGCACGCGCCCTTGTAGTTGTGCCGCGAACTTTGCTTAATTGTTGTTATAGTATTAGTTTACCTGTATAAAGTATCTCAATATATTAGTTATCACTGTTGATCGTGTGTCGAACCTTATTTCACACCCCCGAGAAGTTATACAACCATTATACTATTTTATAATTTTGACGTCGGTGCTAATTAAAGTAAATGCTACAAACCAAACCATATCAGTATTAGAAAAATATATTGATCGTTAAGTACCTACCTACTAATCATCAAAACTAGCAAGAGGTATGTAGCCTATGTAGGTAATATTTTTACACTTTTTTTTGTTAAAAATTATTTTATCAAGCCGCGGGCGGTAGCCACTTAGTGTTAGATAAATAAGTATGTACCTAAGTTAAGTTAACGTGGCTCGCGGTATGCGCCGAGCAGCAGGTAGTACTCAACTGCCCTGGGCTGCGTAGCCAAAGATTTATATATAGCAGACGGAGGTGATCGGAACACTTTTTCTTTGAGGGTGAGCAAATCATAGGAAATTGATATATAATGATATTTTTATCGATTAAAACGCAAGAACTACAAATCACCTATGAAATAAACATTTAAAAACTTAATTCAGACCAATATTAGGCATAAGTCAGTGAACACTCTATCACTTTCCCGCACTGTTTCTGCAGCACTCACGACCGTCACAAGGATGAGGATATCACAATGAAACTACTACGTCACAAGTTATATCTGTATATTCAGTACTAAACAAAACTTACATCTTAGCGGACCTAGTCAACTCACGGAGAATCTTAACACCGCGATTCAGAAAAAATGGCTTTTTGAACAACGCCATCTAGTTATAAAAAACTAACTATTTTCAACATTCCGCCCACCAAGGAACTATTTTTCATAGTCCTTAAATTAAGATAATCACATTTATATAGGCACCGCCCACCATGAGAAAATCATCTAAATTAAAACAGAACCTTACAATATAAACAAAAAAAAAATTATACAACATACATTTCTATAATCATATCACAAAACAAAACATTTATCTCTGTATCAGAAAACAGCTGTATTATAACTACTGAGTGACAGGTAAAATAAATATTTTTGAAGTGGGCCTTTTAATTACAGCTCTTTGAGTACGTAAGGTAACTACTCTCGTAATTTTGTCCAGTCCAGGGTGTTTCTCTACAACTCTCGCCAAAAGCCATTTACAAGGCGGCAAGTCATC